AACCCTGAGCCGGTGAGATTTGAACCGCTGAACTGCTGATCTAGCAGTAGCCTGCAGTGCTGCATTTAACCACTGCGCCACCTTGGCTCTGGTGCTAAATTAAGATGGTGTTAAATTAACACAATGTATAGCACAGAGTGCTTAGATAAGATAAAGGTAAAGGTTCCCCTCGCACTTATGTGCTAGTCCTTCCTGACTCTAGGTGGCAGTGCTCATCTCCGTTTCAAAGCCAAAGAGCCAGACCTATCCAAAGACGTCTCCGTGGCCATGTGGCTGGCATGATTAAACGCTGAAAGCGCACTGAACTCTGTTACCTTCCCACCAAAAGTGGTTCCTATTTTTTCTACTTGCATTTTTACATGCTTTCGGACTGTTGCGCGGCGCTAGGGATATGAATCGCCAAATTGCCAACCTTTCTGATCGACAAGCCCAGCATCTTAGCCACTGAGCCACCGCATCCCACTGTGCTTAGATAGAAAATATAATTCTTATACACAGAGCTACCTTCAAAATGCCTCAAAAGAGAATATTAAGGGCTGTATACCTTCCCAGTTTTTCCCCCCTTTTAATTAATAAGGATCACAATAGCTACCAAATCTTGAAACAGTACCAAATCTTGAAAAGATAAACTGGATTAGTTCTGGTTAATGCTTGGATGAGAGATTACCAGGAAATACCACTGCACTGGGAAGTAAAAACAGTCATATCCCCTTTTTGAATTTTTTAACCTGTTTTGTGGCTACTTCAGTTTTGGTTTAGCATATTCTGATTGTTGGCCATGGTTTATGGATTATAGAAAATCTAGTATTTGTGGTTAATTCATTAAAAAAAGTTAAGTAACCTGAAATAGCCGGATGAATGAATTTATTATTGAGACTAAATATGCATAGGACAGAATCCTAGCCATAACACCTGAAGCAAACATACTAAATGTCCCCTGGAATTTACGGCAAGGAGGGAAAAGGGCAGTTAAGAAATACAAAACATAAAGAAAGAATAAAGAATACTGTCAGGTTTCCTAAAAATGCCCTAATTGATTCATGAGTGTCGAGCTTATCATGCTTAGTAATGCTGGTGCAAAAAAGAGAGCTAAAAGAGTTATATTGAGAAAATGGAAATTTGTTATTACTCCAAACTTCAAGGAATGGCTGTTGGAAAGGTGTCATTTATTTCTTTGGGAAATTATTTTCAGATTATTTATTTGATTATTTTCTCCCATCAAAATATGCAGATGTATGTGCTACTATGGCAGAGATGTAATATTTTACAATAATATTGATCATATTATGTAGCGTATTCCAGTGGTAAGTTGCCAATTTTTTTACTACCGGTTTGGGCGTGCTTGCGTGCCACTTCTATGAATGCACAGAAGCGTCCAGGTGGGTGGGCGGAGCCTCCTACTGCTACTACTACCTGTTCACCCGATCTGGGCCGAACCAGGAGCAACCCACCTCTGATATATTCATTAGTAAATCAATGACTATTGATGTATAATATTTAAGATTTTTTTTCTTCATTTTCCTTTTCCTTATTAGAGTTTAGAGTTTAGAGTTTTATTATTATTTATAGGCCGCCCTTTTCCCTGAGGGGACTCAGGGCGGCTTACAAAATATAGGGAAGGGGGTACAAAACAGTAAACGTGAAACAATACATGGGTAAAAATAGTACTCAACATTCATTCATCATTCGGGTGGGGACAGAATATGATCTTTATCCCCAGGCCTG